TTCTAGATGTCTTGCAGCAAAATAATACTTTGCCGTATCATTTATTTTAAATGTTTAACAAACCAATTTTCTTTTTGACAGCAACAGATCTGTCATGGCTTAATACCTTTGTCAAGCATCAATGTTTTACAATGCACAAAGCATTTAAATCCTAAATGCTTACCTTGATAATGAGACAATTCAGTTACATCCTGAGTCCAAACTTTCAGTTCTGTCTTATCACCATCGATCCCCAAATTTTCGTCCCATCGTTTCCTCAGTCAGTTGATCTTCAGAATATGTTGAGGATAAACTACACTAAGGATCATTTTTCACTCCCTTCTAAGTCTGCAACAGTAAAGCATTGCACTAATCTACTTTTGAAATTTTGCGGAGTTCGATAAATTGTCTGAATGTTTTGGTTTCTGTCAGACCTCCAAATATTTAACTTGTGTAGTCCTGTGTGACAGTAGTGATTCAAACGTGATATTTGTCTCTTTTATCAATGCCTCTGATTGTTAAGCAGTTTTGTTTCACAGCAATTGGCCCACAGAGAAGCAAATATGATTGGGTTTGCTTCATTAAATCAGTGCAACTTGTCTTTTTGCAGGAATACAAGATTAATAAATATCCAATGCTCCCCCTCATCAGTAGATTGCCATGCTCAATGGAAGATAACACCTTAGCACCTACCAGCATTTTCTTTCATAGTCTGGAAAGATGTGAGAATTTGACCTTGTTTTGAAGTCTTGACTGTATCTGATTCTTTCAATCTCCATATTCACTTTGTGTGATGACCTCGATTTAAATCCTTTTACTTTTGTCTCCGCCATTGCATCAGCGAGTCACCAACAGATTGGCTCTTACCCAACAGATAGTATTCCAGAGAATCCGTCTGATCAGAGAGTCATCCTTGAAAGAAAATAAACCAACATTGTTTAGATTTTGTCAAATCTTCCATTCCTCCCTACACAGTATTTACAGCAAGGACACAGGCCATTATGTGGCCCAACAGATTTACGCTGATCCTAAGGTTCCTCATGAACTTTCTCCCAGTTCCATCAAGATCACTGTTCAAAGATGAATTAGGATTTCTATTCTTGTTTTTGCCCCAATTTGTTGCGAAAGACGCCTGAGTAGATTTCACTGAATTAAAGAAATTTTTTTCCCCAATAGTATAGATTGTTCTTGATCAATGATCCCCAGAAATTTATTCTATTCACTGCACCCTACTTATAAAAAGTATCACATTCTGTGTTTAGTGAAAAATAATTGGAGGGAATTATAAGGAGGTTTGAATGTGTATATTGTGTAAAATTTTTTTAATAGTAATAATTACTAGAAAGAATGAAGACGAAAGTGTATCAACGTACGGTTATGCAGAATGTAGCTTAGACAAACCACTTGAAACAGATTACACTGTCAAATCATTCAGTCTAGGTTTTTCAGTTTCATTTTCTGAATTTTTAAAGCTCACTTCAGTTTTCCATCGTTTCTCTTAAGAATTAACTGCCCACATCAAAGTATTGCTGCATAGCAATTTCTTTTCAAATGGGTGCTGGGAATTTCCGGGATAAACCTATTTATTAAAGAGTCTTAAATTTAAACATTTCTTTGCATGAGACATTGGAAAATATATATTTAATGAAATTAGCTTGTATGAACCGTAAAGGCTGGTAGTGCACTATACATTCTGTATTTAATTTGTTTTGAAGATTGGGCATTTCACAGAATTATAGAAGTGTGACATAACAGAAGGAGGCTATCAGACAGCTCATATCTACATGAGCTGTCTGAATAGCCATTCTGACTTTTTGCCATTCTCTTGCCTTTTCCTTTGACTTTTGCAAATTATTTCTATTCACAGTCATCTGTTGCCCTCTTGAATGCCTCAATTGAACCTACCGCCACCGTACTTCGAGGCAACGCTATCCATACCTAACTACTTGCTGTGTGAAACAGTATTTCTTCAGATAATTTTGCTGCCTTTGCAGATCACTTTAAATCTGTACCCCTTCATTTTTGTCCTTTTGAGCAGGAACAGTTTCTGTTCCTATGACTTTGAAAACTCTTTTGAATGTTCTCAAAGCCATCTCTCTTGTCAAGTCGAACAGTCCCAGCCTCTCCAATCTATCCTCGCAACTGAAATTTCTCATCCCCGGAACTCTCCTTGTAAATATTTCCTGCAGTCTTCAATGTACTCACATTTTCTTTGTAATGAGCTGCCCAGAGCTATACACAGTACTTGAGCAAAGGTCTAACAAGAGTCTTGAATGTGTTTCGCAAAACCACCTTGCTGTTGTACTCTATGATTGTATTAATAAAGCCAAAGATACTGTATGCTTTGTGTATCAATCAGGGCAGGTGGAGAGAACAGATATGTCCCATGTCCTTCTGCTGTATGTTCTAAGAATTGTACCCCTGTATTTTATGTTGTCTGTTCACATTCTTCCAACCAAAATACATCACCTCTCACTTGTCTGCATTGAACTTTATCTGCTTACCCATCCAACTTGTGAATTCTCAAGTGTCTTCCTCTCAGTTCACAATGTTACAATCCTTCCAAGTTTTGTATAATCATTAGCTTTGAAATTGTCCCCGCACACCAAGATCTAGATCATTAATATGTATTGAGAAATAAAAGGATCCCAGTGCCGCCACCTTCCTGGAGCCTGAAAAATATCCATTGACTGTTACTCTCTGCTTCCTATCACTCTGCCAATTTTGTACCACATTGCCGTTGTCCCTTTTATGCCACAACCTATAACTTTGCTCACAAGTCCATTCTAGAGTTACATAGCACTGAAACAGACCCTTCAGTCCAATTTGTTTATGCTGACCGACATCCCAATCTGACCTAGTCCCATTTGGCCCCTATCCCTCTAAATCCTTCTTATTCATACACCCATCCAGATGCCTTTTAAATGTTGTAATTTCTTCCTCTGGCAGCTCATTTCATAAATGTACCACCCTCTGCGTGAAAAAGTTAACCCTCAGGTCCTTTTTAAATCTTTCCCCTCTTGCCTTAAATCTATGCTGGCTAGTTTTGGACTGGTTTACCCCAGGTGCCCAGTGCCATCGACTGTGCATGTGTGGGACTGAGAGGGATGTATCACAATGCAGAGTTCATCAATAGTGAAGATTCTGTTCCATTAATGTCCAAGTAATCTGTGATCACTAACCACTTCCTGGAGTGAATGCCACTACCATGGCAGCTGCCAAAACTCCTACATCCTGGCCCACTCTTGTGTACCTAGTGTTTTTGAGAGTTCAGGAGCCTCTTTTAGGTTACTGGTGAACAGGTACATTGGAGGGTGAGGGCTACGTATTGAAACAATGGTTCATGAAACCATTGAGCAGCCTCCTAAATGAAACAGTGCAGATACAATGCAGGTAAAGTTTCAATCAGGGCTGAGTGTGGAGCAGACAATAGGGATACTGAAGATGTGGTTCCCCGGTTGGATCAGTCAGTAGGGGCCATTCCCGAATAGTCTGGGCATGCATAGAATCATAGAATCATAGAATCCCTACAGTGTGGAAACAGGCCCTTTGGCCCAACAAGTCCACACCGAACCTCAGGGCACTGAGGTTCTGTTGTGCTCTGCTGTGCACAATTGGAACAGGCGACAAGATGATGGGGTGGTTGAGGAATTGGGGGAGTTGGAGCAGTCTTCTGAGGAGGGCACCAAGCACATTGAGGTGGAGGAAGCTCTCCTTGTCTGTGACCGAGTTCAACAGGGTGTTTGATACCCGGTTCCAGTAGATGAAAGCTGGATGCAGCAGACCTTCATGGAATGTAAAATCAGCAGTGGTCATCATACCAACATTTAGTTTGCATTTTGGGGATGAACTGCAGCCTCTTTTCATTTTGTTTGTTTGCTTATGGTGACTGTAAATAAAAGTTCATGTTTGGAGCTGTCTGACTGCTTGCCTTTATGTGATGTTCTCCTACTGGACAAGGATAAAATGTGGATTTACAGTAGGCATTGGGGAGACCGTAGAGGTGACTTAGGGTGTTTAGACAAAATGTAACTTGGAACTTCTAGACTGTGTGGAGTGGTAGTTAAACAGTGACCAGAATGAGAGAATGGGGCTGTATATGTGTGGGAGTGTCAGCCATGATGACTATGTGCTGTGAGCATCATGGCTTTGTGGTTGCTGTGCCATTACATTGTTAATGAAGCAATGCCAAATTGCAAAAGTTTTTCTGGGTGTAGTGTCCTTTCAAAGATGGTGTGGGCACTGGGGTTGCTGTTCTTTTGGCAGATATCCAGTGAATAGCAAGTTGTTCCAGGAACAGTGCATAAGATGGAGCTAGAATTGGATAAGAAGGGCATCGTAGATCGTAGTTAATGAGTTGAGTTTGGTAAGCTATGTTGAGAGATTTCACTAGGTAATTCAGTGAGAAACCTCTAAAAAGCTTGATGAAACTGGTAAAGCCTACATCTTCGCCCTCTTAAACTAAACAAAATCTAAATACAATTCTAAAAGGGCTGTAAAATAGTCCTTTCCCCACTTTAGAACCCAAGCTTCTAAATCAAATAACATCATATGCATCCAGTAATTATGAGTAATGTTTACGATAACCACCCACTGGTGGGAAAGATACAAGAAACATATCTGCAGGAAAGCAAGGCAGCTGCTTCAGCCTAACCCAATTTTTCTTTGTTATTTAAGTGCCTGTCAAACAATTTACTATTATGTGAAAATTTAATTTAGAGTTTCTCTTTGCTTTCCTTTTTTTCTTGCTGCTTTCTTACCCTTTTCGGAGGATCACAGGGATCAAGGGGAATGTAACTAACTAGATTGCTGTGCAGGGAGACAAAATAGATTTGATGGGCTGGATGGCTTACTTCTTTACCACATATGATTGTGTTTCTTTATGACTTGTCATCTTGTCTTATTGCTGTTTTACATTATTTGGAGGGGCCGAAAAATGGGATTGCTAGCAAATGGTGCCTGACTTATGTGTGGAGGTCAGTGAGTTCAGTTGGCTGGGTGGTTGGTTTTCACTTAGCATGGTGCCTGCTGTGTGGTTCAATTCCATGAAGAATTCTTGACCTCACCTGATGTGTGGTGCCCCTCAGGTTAAACCACCACCAGTCATTTACTAATGAGAGAGCAGCCCTGTGGGACTATGACAACTTTACCTTGCTTGCCTCATTAAACAACCAAAGTTTAAAAAAAAGGAAAAAGTTATATAATGAATCATATGCTGCTACAGTCACTGCAGTGTACAATGTTGACATTGTGAAGCAGATTTTCAGATGTTTCGAGTCAAGGTGAAATACAGTTCAGCCTATCAAAGAAGCCCATTATTTTTGTAGCTTGTTAGCATGCAATACTTTACAGGAGGTTACAGGTGACAGAAACAAAAAAATCATTTGTCCAAGACCACAAACTTGTTTATCTACATTAACAAGCAGTCAGCCAGAGTAATATGATTATTGGTATTAACATACTTTCAACAAACTGCATGAACTGTAAAAAATGAACAAATTCCATTTGCACTTAATACACTGGTAAGATAAAGTATCGTCTCAATTGTCCTCAACCTAACATCAGTACCTCTGAATGTCTATCACTAATCTGTCTAATATCTTGGTATTTGATTGCTTCAGCCCATTCGTAGGTTATAATGCAACGATGCAGAATGCAATGTGGCACTGTATCGAATGCCTTCTGGAAGTGCACACACTCCACGTCAATAGCATTACCCCCACCACTATTGTCTTTCTGTTACCTTTTAAAAAACTCCATGTTAGTTAAACAAAATTTCTCCTTTAGATATCTATGCTGGCTTTCCTAAGCAACTTATGTTTTTCCACTTTCTGGGGACACTCAGTCCAGACAAATTGGCACCATCTGTTGTGGGTTCAGGAGAGCTCATACGTTCATAACCCTCCGATTGGTCCGGCTCCAGCTGCAGAGAAAAACTTCATGCTGGCTGCATCAAACTCCTCTCTGAAGTTTCTCTAATTCTCTGTCGAAAGATCAGGAAATGACATTCAGGGACACAAAGAAATCATCCTAAAAGGAAAAGCCAAAACCCTGAGTTTAGCTGATCAAACAGCAAAGCCTGATGATAGCATTGTCATCATAGAATTGGAAGGATTGCGAGAACCATGCATGTAGTTTTATGATGTGAACTGCTGTTACAGGTCTTTATTTCCATGATTCCTTTTTCTTCTCCTGTAATATTTGTGTTTTCTGTTTCTCTGTGTCCGTAAGTTTAAATGGGATGAAGTTTAAGCAGTCTTGTCATAAGTTAGCAATTCATTTTTTGCCATTTGTTTAGAAATTGCTTCGGTTACAATGAATCTTTTTTTTTAATGACTAAAACCTGATCTGTTTCTTTTAACCTGAATCAGATGGTCAGGTAAATTGGATTATTTACTATTTTAATTAGATTTTCATATTTGTGGCGACTCTGGAAACAGTGGGCATTGATATCGGCGTACTCTCCCAAGCAAGCTGTGACCAATACAGTCTGCTTTCACCAGTCATGAAATGATCATTTAATTTGCCAAGAGGGTTTTTTGATGCTAGCAGGGAGATTGGACCAGGTAAGGACAGCAGATTGTCCATCTATGAAGGACACTTGTGAACCAAATGGGTTTTTGTGACAATCAATGATAGTGTCACGATTGCCATTATTGAGACGATCTTTGATTTTCAGGTGGTCTGAACTGATTTTAATTTCCAACAGTTGCCATGGTGGAATTTGAACATGTATCCCCAAGCATTAGCCTAGACCACTGGATTATTAGCATAGTGACATTCCCACTGCAACAGGTGCATAAGAGTATACTGCAGAGTTATGCACTGGATGTGAGAAAACTTGATATTCTGAGAGATGCGATGAAGCATGATCCAAATACAGGTGCTTTTACAAAAACATTGAAGTTTTCTTAAGATATTTCTTTTGTTTATTAAGGACATTCAGAACCTTTTCATGCAACACAGCTCTGGAACAGTATTATTCGTGCCCTCCATACTCAGGTGGACCTGAGGCAGCAGAGACTGCATTGGAGAATGTACAGTGACTGTTTCACTGGTGCCGATGCTGTTGATGTGGTGCTGAGTTACCTCATGCAAAACGTTTACTTCAGCAACAGTGATATTTCACGTTTGAAGGCAGCTCGCCTCTGCCAGGCTCTGATGGATCATAGAGTGTTCTACCCTGTCAGTACAAGACTCTTCAGCAAAGAGCGGGAGAGTATGTTTGAGGATCGCAGCAGCAGTCTCTATAAATTTGTGGACAGCTACACGTTGCCAGGAGCTGGAAAAGACCAGGAAATGGAGAGTCTGGTGCCGAAAAGGAAATTTCATAAGTAAGTTTTTTTGTTTAAAATCCTTCTCTGGATATGGGCAATGTTTATTGTATAGCACAACGTAAAGTTGCTTGCTAGGCTCATTCAGAGAACAGCCAACCAGGTTGGTGTGAGATGAGAGACTGATATAGCTCTACATATGTGATTGTTTCATTCCTTGAAGATCTTAATGAACCAAATAGCGTTTTGTGGCAATTGAACAGTTTCAGCTTTACCGATACAATTTTTCATTTTTACATTCAGCAAGAAATTAAATTTGAACACTCAATCTGTCATAGAAGGATTAGAAATTAGCTTCTTTGTATTACTATACCAGAAAAATCACCATAACACTGCCACATCCAGCAGTTTCAAAGTGATCATGAGATTTTTGTCTGTTGTGGTCTGGAGAACTTGTATTGTTGCATATAAATGTTATATTTTCACATTATGCTTAAAGCTCCTACGTACCAGGGCAAAATACAATTTGAATGTACATAATTTGAATTACCTTTCTTATTGTTTAGAAGCATAAAAAATTGGAGCAGGAAGAGGCCACTCAGCCTTTTGAGCTTGCTGCTTCATGTAATGTGATCATGGCTGACCAACTAAATCCCCTGTTCCTGCCTTCTACCCTTCGATCTCTTTAGCTCTAAGAACTATATCAAACTTTCTCTTGAAAACTATTAATTTTTTAAATCTCTAGCTAAGGCTATGGAAAGGCAACTCCTGACACTTAGAGTCATAGAGTTGCACAGCATGGAAACGGACCCTTCGGTTCACTCCTCAACCAGTCTGATCAAGGTCCCATTTTACCCTGAAGTAATCTTCTTCACTGTCCATTACACCATCATCTATAACCATACCTCCTATATTCACATCCACGTTATTTATATAAAAGTATAAAAAGCAGTACTTTTCTGCCTGACACACAGTGAGAGAACAATTTAGGTTAACTGTCATTCAATTATATTTTTTCCTTTGACATGGCCAGGTTGTTGAACCTATTACTGTGGAGGATGATATAATAGTGTGGAATTAGATCAAGTGTACAGTGCAAACAGGCCATTTGTCCCAAATGTTCTTTGCAAACACTTGTTATACATAAGGTTATTGAGCTGGAATCTGTGTCTTTCAGTGGAGTTTTCATTTGCCAAAGCTTCCCCAGCTATTGTTGCTTTGGCCTGGATCTGGATGTAATGTGACACCTCTTGTCCAACAAAAAAGAACAAGTTATACAGTATGTTTTAAATTTGATACCTGCAATCTCTCAATTGTGGGCAATGCAGTATTTGATTTTACTGTAATTGCCATGGTTTGAATTTTGTAACACCAGTCTCAGATAGTCAATGACTAGAAAGTATTTCATGATTACTTCCAAAACCCTGATATGAAATTCTAATTGCTCCTTATTTTGCCTTTTTTAAACAGACCAGTCAAACTTGCTTTTTCGAATCCTGTTGCTTTGGAAGCTTGTGATAAAAGATTTGAAGAGCTTTTTCACACTATCAACCTCCGTCCATCATTACCGCCAAACCTAAAAGTAATAAGCTTAACCAACCATCTGACCAAAAAAGGTGAACATTTTTTACAATATCTTTTTGGTTATGCAGGCCAACACATGCAAAATGCATTTCATTTTTCCGTATATGTCAGTCACTGTGTTTCGTCCAAATTTGTTTAGATTTGTTAAAAGCAATTTAATTAAACCCTGTCCATACATTCCATTTCATTTCTGATAGAGATTCACAGCATAAGAATTAGACATTAATTTAATTCCATCTCTTGTGCATGGAATAAGCTATAAGTTTTATGTACTTGACATTTCAAATGAATTTTAATATTAGGAATCTCTCAAGTTTCTACTGTCATTTTTGAGTAAGCAACTCATGGATTTCAGCCGGCACTGAGAGCTTTCATTTTATGTCAGATTCTGACTTTGCTCCATTTGGCCTGCATTTGCAAGCAATCCAGTTGTGTCACTCCTCCTTCAGAGAGGTATGTGAAAACCAGTCTCTGCGACAGCCATTCAATAATCAGGGAGCAAGTGATTGAGAAATGGACCTAAGTTGAGTTAAATCAACACAGTTGGCTGCGTTTGTGGCCAATGTCACTGCTAGATAAAGCCAACCATGCATGGCTCAATGTTTGTTTATTTTCTATTCCACCTCAATGAAGTTCTTTGTGATGTTTTCATTGCTAAAGGTGGTATTTGAGTTTGTTATTCATGCAAGAGAATCACTGAGATTCCTAATCTCTCTGGTAAAGCTGAAAGAAGAACAGCAGAAACTCCAAATATGTCAGTGATTATTGGTGAATATTTTTTTTTCTGTTTCTTACTAGTTGAGTTACTCCTGTGGAGACGACTTCTCACACTGAAATGAAACCAATGTGTTGCACCTTCTGAGTTTTCCGTCCATGTAAACTGTTAGGAGGAACTGATGTGATGTCACAGATGCAGTTACATCTGCTCCAATAGATCTGTATCATAGTTTCGTTGGGAATATACACTTCATCTTGGATTCCTTATCTCCATTCTCCCACATCTTTATTTTCATAGTTCCACAGTGGCTGTTTGATTATTTATCCAAGAATTTGGGAAAAAGAGGAAGGAAATCCTTTAAGTGTGGCTAGAGTTTAGTTGTGAGAGAGAGAGAGAGACTCTATTATTGTAACTGGCCACCAATTTTAATCATATTTTCTTTTGTGCTTAGAAGATGAGGGGGATGTTAATGTATTTGGGTCATCTCTATTTCATCTATGCAAAGTTAAATTCTTTCACTGCCCCAAGATCATTAGTCCTTACCCCCTGGGAATTAACCCCTTCTCCATTATTGCAATCATTCTGTTTCCTACAACAAATATCTGGTTGAGTGTCACAATTACTTGAAGAATTGGGAGCGATTTTTAGTTACTAGCTTGGATTGTGTCTTATTGACATTGCCAATTAATGCTTGCTTGAGAACTCTCAAACCCAATCCATAACCGACCATTTTGACCAGCAAACAGAGGAGACCCCATTCCATAAATTTGAACCGAAGCCTTCAGGTAAAAAGCTGGTGTCTAACCCACCATCCCAATAACTTTGGTTTCATATGTGGTTCTCTTACTGATTTGACTGAAATGAGGCATTTTTATCAGGCGTTTACAGGCATCCCTGCAATCAAAGTCAAACTGGGATGGCCAAAGAACTGTTCTGCTTATGATGCCGTTCAAATTGTTGACCATTTCTTGATGCAAAATTTCTGAAATGGGATCAATACCCAGTACATTTAAATGGCCTCCCTTTGACATTAGGTGTTGTGGTCTGTCACTTTACAGCCAACAGAGTAAGTTTGGAATGTGGTTGCTATTGTAATATTGGAAAGCATAACAGTTAGTTTTTGTCACTGTACTCATAGACTTAAGAATTGTGGTTTCTCTGTCCTGTCCTTTTTTGCCCTCTGCAGAAGTTAACACAGCTTGGGTTTTGCATTTCAATATGCAAATTGCATGCATTGACTAATCAGTTTGTGCCTGTGTGATTGTTTATAACTCAGCATGTGAATACTAACAGTGTTTTTACTGTGCTTCTCTTTTGCTTTCAACAATGGGGTTTGACTTGCTCCACAACAGTTGTAGAGGATGTTTGGAAGCAAACAACTTTATTGCAGCTGCTACATTTAATTCACCTTCCCATCTTGGACAACATCCTGGAATCTCCAGTGAAAGCAAAACGAAGACGACTAGTTCAGTTCAATCAGAAAATTGACCTTATTATCTCCAACACGTTCCTGGATCGCGAGGTTTCTAAGAGCCTAAATCTGCCCTAGTTAGTATATGCAAATAACTTTCCAAATTCTTTGAATGAGATACGATGTGTAGCATTTAAATATAATAAGTAAGAGATTTGAAATATTGCCTTAAACTTTTATTGTGCAGAGATTAATAGAAAATCCATGAACCTCTTTCAATTTATTGGTTATTTGAAACAGTGTGAGACATTGCATACTGTGCAATCAAAACCTTACGTGAAAAAGCATAATCTTCAAATGAGCTTTCTTCACATCTATCTACTCCCTTGCTCACCCTCTTACATTTGCATGTGTTACTTTATGCAAATTTCAAGTAATTTGGGAAAACCAAAGAGGACCAGTTTTCATCAGGGATTCGTAGAAGCTATTTCATGCAAATTGGTTGTAGAGTACTAACATAATCAAATTCCACACACATGATTCCAGAAATGAAGGATTACCTGAATGAGGTGAGAAAGGACAAGTTGGGATTGTTCTCTTGTGAGCAAAAAAGACTGAGAGTAGGACCAAAAACAGAAGTTGCTGGAAAAGCTCAGCAGGTCTGGCAGCATCTGTGAAGTAAAAACAGAGTTAACATTTCAGGTCTGGTGACCCTTCCTCAGAACTGATGGTAGTCACTAGACCCGAAACATTAACTCTGATTTTTTTCTTCACAGATGCTGCCAGACCTGCTGAGCTTTTACAGCAACTTCTGTTTTTGTTCCTGATTTACAGCATCAGCTGTTCTTTAGGTTTTTAAGACTGACAGCAGATTTGGTCAAGGTAACATCATCAAAGTGTAGGCAGTGAAACTGTACTTCCAATGGCTGAAGGGTCAATGACTAGAGAACACAGATTTAAGATGATTGACAGAAGAACCAGAGGTACCATGAGGAAAAATCTTTTGTGTATAAAACAGTTAGGATTTAGAATACACTGCCTGATGGAGTGGGGGGACACAGATTGAATAATAGCATTCAAAAGGGAACTGAATAAATATTTCAAGGAGAGAAAAATGCAGGGAACCAGAACTAACTGGATTATTCTTCAAATGAGCTGGCACAGACTTAATGGGCTGGTAGGCTACCTTCTAAGTTACACTATTCTTTGAACTAATCCCCAGAAAAAAGGCCAACCCTGAAATTTCTGAACCAGAATGTATTGTGCCTCTGTCAAGACAAACCATGTGTGAGACATGCTTCCTCAGTCTCTGTGTTGGTTTTTTGTTTGTATCCACAGTACTGATGAGTGGTTCTCAGTTGCAGTCGATTGCCTGGAATATTTCCCAGATGAGGTGATTGTGCACACGAGTGAACTGTTATCTCAGATCGCGAATGACAGGGAGGCTGCAGAAAAGTACAAAAAAGTGCTGTTTGAAACTATAGTGAGGCACTATAGTCAGAACAAGGAGCCACTTCTCTGTGATCGATATCGTGACATATATGCAGGGATCGTTGAACTTCTCGGTAAGGGATTTGTTTTGCAGAGCTGTGTAAAGAATGCAAATGTTGGTGATTTGGCCCTAAATTATGGAACAACATGATTTTCATTACTTGAGAATGGTAAATCTTAGCTAATAATATGTTTCAAATTTCAGTTAGTCAGAGAATATGTTCATTTAAAATAATAAGAAAGTTGTGTATACCGTGGACAACATGCAAGTACTTTAGTTTATTGACTGGTCGCAGACAGGAAAAAAAACCTTAGTTACAATGTCTTTATTAAATAAATCTTTGTGCTCTTTCTGCCTCTGCTGTTTTTTTGTTTTGCACACATTTTTACTTATATCTGTATGACTATTTCCCTTACCCCAATATTGTTGTGTTGTGCTTTCTGTTGGTCACTCCTCCTTTGTCTTACCTTTTGTGTGTCATACTCCAAAGTGTGTCTGTTAGGCTCTTACCAATCTTTCCCTATTGATGCATTGAATTTTTCTTTGCCTTTGTAAGAAAATGGGAAGAAGCCAGGATAGAGTGAGGTGTTGGAAATGGAACAGCAACATTAATGATTGAATGAAAAGTGGAAGATGAAGTTGAAGGAGGACTCCTTCCTGTGATTAGATGGGATTTGGGGGCCAGTGGTAGTAAAGAAGCCAAGGACTGAGGGTTCAACCTTGGGAAGTGGACTGATTGACAGGCCGAGACCGGGGAGGATGTGGAGGGGAGTGCTGGACTTGAGACCACTTGTGTTAATGAGATCTGGGAATGCTGGGGTCTGCAAATAGTTGTGGAGTCTCAGTCTGGAGCTTGAAAAACTTGACCCTGACTTGTAGAGACAAACCTGCATAAAGAAGAGAATCCTGATGGAACGGAGGGGGGTTACAAGTGGTTGAGAAGCACTGGAATGAGGCAACTGCATTACCTGTCTTTTAGTAGTCTGTGCTGAATAGCTCTGATTTAACTTGTCTATTTAGCTGCTTGATAATTTCATCCAATATTAAGAGGCTTTGCAAAACAGGCACCGTCTATGAACAGAAATAGTATTAATTTTGCTGGTCAGTGATGAAATTAGAGGTGTAGTAGGTTTTACGTGTGTTTCCCCTCACCCACTCTTCCCCTTGGCTGACAGAGAAGCAAACAAATGGGGAAGTATGGGTTTACACAGAAACTGGGAATCCACTGAGATTGATGAGCAGTCTGTCACTATCACAGGACAGCATCCCCTGATCCTGCACCAGACTGCTATACCTTTTCCAGGCATTGGCTGAAACAAGAGCCTACATGATTAATAATCAAACAAACCTTCAGTGGCCAAAGGTGAATGAATTTAAAGCACCTGGTGACCCACAATGAGGAGTGAAAAAAAGCCATACTGTCTGATTAACCTTGAGTTTTGTTTTTAGGAAGTTACCAAACCAGAATTGAGAAGTAACAGGAAGTAATCACATGATTTTAATAATTTTCTTTGAAGAAAAGTCTTTTCACAACTTTGAAATCACACAGTGCCTCAGCTTCAGGTGTAGTCACTGTTCTAATATAGTAACACGCAATATTTAGATTAAGCAGTCTTAACACTGCATAGTTTCATCTTAACAGTGATGGAAGATAAGGTGCCACATCAAAGATGATTGCAGAAAATATAAGTTATGGTGTAGTGAATAGGATCTTGGCATTGAAAAGAAGATTGGCTGGCTGTCAGGAAGCAGGCAGAAGGTGTAAACAGGTTTTTTAGATTAGCAAGATATAATGACTGGTATGCCACAGGGTTCAGTTCTGGGGCCTCAACTATTGGCAATTTATAAACAACTTGGATGAAGGGACGGAAGTTATGATTGTCAATTTGTGATAAGACAAATGTAGGAAAGTTGGTTGTGAAAAGGACACAAAGCTCACAAAAATATATTAATAGGTTAAGTGAATGAGCAAAGATGTAAAATTATCCTTTGTAGAACTAAAAAAAAATCTAAATGGTGAGACATTGCAGAACTCCGAGATGCAGAGAAATAAGGGCATCCTTGTGCATGAACCTCAGAAGGCTTACATGCATTATATGCAGGTACAGCAAATAATTCGGCCATGGAATGTTATAATTTATCACAAAGGGAATTGAATATAGAAGTGAGAAGTACATACCTCGGTTACATAGAGCACTGGTGAGTTCGCATTTGGAGTACTGTGCACAGTATTGGTTGCCTGATCTTATGAATGATGTAAATGCTTTGGAAGCAATTCCGAGGAGAAATGCATGGAGTAGGCAGATTGTATTATGAGGAAAGAATCCTGAAGCATTTTGACAGGGTAGATATGGAAAGGGTTTTTCTTCTTCTTAGAGAAGCCAGAAGTAGGGGGTCACTGTTTAAAAGTCATGGATCAGCCATTTAAAAAAGAGATGAGGCATAACTTTTTTTCTCTCAGCAGATTGAGTCTTTGGAACTCTTCCTGAAAAGGTTATAGAAGCAGAGTCCTTTCATATTTTTAAGGCAAAGGTAGATAACCTTTCACCTTTTTGCTTAATAAAAAAGCTATCAGGTGAAGGTGGAAATGTGGATTTGAGGTTACCATCAGATTAGCCATTTTTTTTTATTCATTCATGGGATGAGGGCACCACTGGCTTAGCAAGTATTTATTGCTCATCCTAAGAGTCCATCAATTGCTCTGGAGTCGCATGTAGGTAAGGTAAAGATGGCAGTTTCCTTCCCTAAAGGGCATTAGTGAGCTAAAACAAAAGCAAAGTTGCTGGAAAAGCTCAGCAGATCTGGCAGCATCTGTGAAGGAGAAAACAGAATTAACATTTTGGGTCTGGTGACCCTTCCTCAGAACGCACTGGACCCGAAACGTTAACTCTGTTTTTACCTTCACAGATGCTGCTAGACCTGGTGAGCTTTTCCAGCAACTTTGGTTTTGTTCCTGATTTACAGCATCTGCAGTTCTTTTGGTTTTTATTCGGCATTAATGAACCAAATGGGTTTTCCTGACAACCAATAACGGATTCATGGTCATCATTAGATTTTTAATTTCAGATTTTTATTGAATTCAAATTCCATCATCTGCCATGATGGGATTCAAACCGAGGTCCCCAGACCAATTACCTGGGTCTCTGGGTTAACAATCCAATGATTACGCCTTTGCCCCTCATATTGAACAGCAGAGCAAACCCAAGGGGTTGAATCACCTAGACCTGCTCATAATTCTTATGTTTGTGTGACACTTCCATCATATGAAAAAGAATCACTCTAATTAAAACTTTTCCTTACAAAACTGTAGAAAATGGTAAGACTGGACAAGCTTTGGAAGCCGCACAACTTGGCGTTCGGTTGTTGGAGCCTAACTGGAGAGAGGAGCTGCACAGATTGCTGTCCTTCATGGCTGTTGCTGCAACCCCAGACGCCTGCATACTGCAGAAACAGGTTTATCAGTATTTTAAAACTAATTAATCACAAAGTAGATAAGAATATGACTTCAAAATATTTTCTAAAGCAATTTTCAAATATTTCTCAACAAAAGGCTGGGAGAAATAATACACTTTTTGACAATACGTTTTATTTTTAGATAAGTCTAAAGACAAGGGGAGACTTGTGTCAGGACATCAACTGTGCAGAAACCAAATAAAAGAGACAGTTTTCTTTACGCCCACAGAATAGCCCGAAACAATCAGTTCTGTGATGAATCTCAAAAGCCTCAACCTGAAACTTGGGTTGAAAAGAAGAAATAATTTGTAAAGCACCTTTTGATATGCCTGGGGATCTCAAAACACACTTTTACAGCCAATTAAACAGTTGTCATGAAGTGTAATCTATGGTAATGTGGGAAATGCATCAGCCAATTTATACATAGCAAAGTTCCATAAACAACCAGATAAATGTCTGGAAATTTTGCTTTGTGATGCTAGTTGAGCAATAAATATTGATGAAGGAAACAAGAGGAACAACCGCCCTCCCCCTCATTTTCAGTTAAATAGCCTCAGAGGATTTTTTTTAATACATTCACCTGAGAGAGTTGACATGACCTCTGTTTAATGTCTCACCTGAAAGATGACACCTGTGCCATGCAGCACTCACCCTCTACTACTTTGGGACTGTATACCTGCATGCTTACCAAGAGGAGAGTTTGCATCAGGTTGTCAAACTCTATTTAAATGGTGTGTGAGTTGGCAAGTGTACACATTTGGAATTCTTTAATTTTACTTGCCGATGAAAAGTTGCCTTTATAATAACACACTAACCAACCTGCTTAATAGCTCCAATTGTTCGCAGTATTAAATGTCACAATTTGATGCTGCACTGTCAGGGATGACCTATCCTAATTTTTCATCATAAATTGCTCATCAGCAACTGGTAGCATGAACTAAAGGCAGCAAATTTTACAAGGTGAAGGATTGACATGTCTGTGTATAGGGCAAAAAAAATTGAAGGACCTTCTGCCATTCTTATTGCTTAATTCATAAGTTGCTATTGTGTCACATACTTCGGGTACGCAGTACTGATACATATCAGACGTTAAAATGTTGGCTAAACAGTCTAGGTATAAACTTTTGTGGTTTTTGCTTCTTCTACCCAGAAGTGTTATCGCACACCATCAACTCCAATCTCACTGATTACTTGTTCCCCATAATTACCTTTAATTAACATAAAACAATCACCTGTTCCCTGATTCCATTTGGCCTCAGGCATTCCTATCAGACTCTGGTATATAACAACTGGTACATCCTGATGTACTTCATAATGTGAGTGATTGGAGAAGTAGCATGTGCTATGTGTATCATGCTGGGGGCAGCAGCTTAGTATTAATTTTTGGTGTCAGAAAAGATCCCATAGTGTTGTTCCAAAAAGAGCAAGAATCCACCCAGTGTTCTCACCATTGTTTATCCTTCAAAAGAAAATCTTTTAATAATTAAGGCATAAACAGATTGCAGCTTGAGAGTTTGCTGTGCACAAGTTGGCTGCTGATTTTCTTAAACTGACAGTGACCACATTTAAAATGCATTTCATTGGCTGTAAAGAGGTTTGGTATGTCCTGGTATTGGTTCCAGTTTGTTCTTCCTTTCAGCTGTGTCCTGTCACCATTATCTTGATGATCTTGCTGTTTGACCATCAGAATTGTACACGGTGCTCTGGATGTGGCTGTACCAGTGCTTGACCAGCATCTCTCTTGCTCCTAGGTCTTGTGTCTTACAGCTCTGACTTATGATGAATTCTATTTTGTAGAACACCAACAGAACTGTAATAAGGAAAACATTTACCAAAGCTATTGTACAAAGCAAATCTCTAACAAAAGTACAGGCTGAAGAACTGGTCATTTTCCTAATGGATAACCGCACCGAGCTCTTCAAGGTACAGTATTCACAGCCCATTAAGGAAGGAATATTCTTGGATATTTTCACTCTATGATGTCTGTACTGATTGTTGATTCCCACTTGAAAATTCTGGGATAGTTCTTCCACTCCCCAGGAAGCATGTGAATACAACTCATTAACTTGGTTGAGGCAAGAGGCTGTCTGTAGGGAACTAAATTTTCCCCTGCTGTGTCTCCCAAGAATTTCAATTTGTTATTCCTGGAAAAGGAACTTTGGGATTATGTAGAAGATAATTTGACCCAACCAAGTTTGTGTCCTCCCCCAGCTCCAGGGGGTGATGTCTGTCCTACCCATGTCCTAACTTGGAGGCTGCTTGACTCCTGGCTGTCCCTCCTGATCATCTCACAAACCCTCCATTTCTTAATTTTTGGATTGCCTCTTTGAGCCTAGTCTTGAATGAACCAGAATTATCTGCTGTTGACCATTGTGAAGGTGGAAGCTATTCAGTCAGATCATCTGATTAGCAACAGTGCTAAATACATTGCTACTGACATACGGAGATCATTTCATGCTAATCATTTTTGTGCACTTTCAGCCAGGGCTTCTGATCCTGGATTGAACAGTGAATCCTCAGTGCAGCCATCAGGTGTAGATTAGCGAAGAGGTGTGTCAGAGAAGACGTATCTGCGTTTCGCTGACTGCTTCACTAAGGTTCAGTTTTCAAGGGTTTAGCCTTTTCAGTCAGCAGGATATTCCATTCCTGAGAAACCCCTCCAGTGATGAAATTCGCAAGTGTGGAGCTCAATAAAAATAAGTTAAAAATTGCGAGGTTTTATTTGCTAATGGATGATTTGCTAAAAAAAAAGGTCTTCAAGGGTCATAATCTCTGGATTGCTGCCCGAGCCACGTACAAATTGGCATAGGGAGGCGAGGATCAGGGAAGTAAACACGTGGCTAAAAGAGTGGTGTGGGAAAGAGGGTTTCCTTTTCATGGGGCACTGGCATCAGTTCTGGGACAGGAGGGATCTATACCGCTGGGACGGACTCCACCTGAACAGGGCCGGGTCCAGTGTTCTGGCGAAAAGGGTAAATAGGGTGGTTAATAGGACTTTAAACTAGTAGGTAGCGGGGAAGGGAGAAGTGAGCGTAGAGGGAGAATAACAATTAATGTAAGGCAAAGCAGCAGGTTAGCAGGTGACGAGGAAGCTTCAACTCCATTGAAAATTAGGAAAAAAATTAAAGGGAAGGAGAACTCAAGAGCTGTTAGTAATGGAGGTAATAGGACCCAAAAAGAAGGTGCAAAAACTGGCATAAGAGCACTTTATCTGAATGCTCAGAGCATTCGAAACAAGGTGGATGAGTTGATGGTGCAAATCATGACAAATGGGTATGATTTAGTGGCTGTTACAGAGACATGGTTTCAGGATGGTCATGACTGGGAGTTAAATATCCAGGGGTATCAAACTGTTCGGAAGGACAGACAGGAAGGTAAGGGACGTGGTGTTGCTGTGATTTTTAAGGATGATATCAGGGCAGTAGTGAGGGATGATATAGGTTCTACTGAACAAAACGTTGAATCCATTTGGGTGGAAATTAGGAATAGCAGGGAGAAGAAGTCACTGATAGGTGTGGTCTATAGGCCACCAAATGATGACATTGTGGTGGGGCGGGCAATAAACATAGAAATAGCTAATGCATGTAAAAATGGTACAGCAATTATCATGGGGGATTTTAATCTACATATCAATTGGTCAAACCAGGTCAGTCATGGCAGCCTTGAGGAGGGGTTCATAGAATGCATCCGTGATAATTTCCTTGTAATGGAACCTACGAGGGAGCAAGCTATCCTAGATCTAGTCCTGTGTAATGAGACAGGAATAATTAATGATCTCGCAGTTAGGGATCCTCGCGGAAGGAGCGATCACATTATGGTCGAATTTAAAATACAGATGGAGCGGGAGAAGGTTAAATCCAGTACCTATGTCCTGTGCTTAAACAAAGGAGACTATGAAGGAATGAGAGAGGAGTTAGCTAAGGTAGAATGGGAGTAAAAACTTTATGGTGGGTCAATTGAGGAACAGTGGAGGACTTTGAAAACGATGTTTCACAGTGCTCAGTAGAAGTATATTCCAGTGATAAGGAAGAACTGTAGGAAAAGAGAGAGCCAGCCATGGATGTCTAAGGAAATAAAGAAAAGTATCAGATTGAAAAAAAAACACATACAAAAAAGCAAAAAGTAGTGGGAAACCAGTAGACTGGGAAATCTTTAAAGGTCAACAGAAAGCCACAAAAAAAGCTATAAAGAAAAGTAAGCTAGATTATGAGAGTAAACTAGCTCAGAATATAAAAACAGGCAGCAAAAGTTTGTATAAATATGTAAATCGTAAAAGAGTGGCGAAGGTAAACATTGGTCCTTTAGAGGATGAGAAGGCCAATTTAATAACTGGGAATGAGGAAATAGCCGAGACATTAAACAGTTATTTCGTGTCGGTCTTCACTGTGGAAGATGCAAATAACATGCCGAAAACTAATGGCAAGAAGGTTACAGCAGGTGAGGATCTAGAAACTATCATTATCACTAAGGAGGCAGTGCTGGGCAAGCTAATGGGGCTAAAGGTAGACAAGCCTCCTGGCCCTGATGAAATGCATCCCAGGGTACTAAAAGAGGTGATGGGGGAAATAGCAAATGCACTAGTAATTATTTACCAAAATTCACTGGACTCTGGGCTGGTTCCCGCAGATTGGAAAATAGCCAACGTGACGCCACTGTTTAAAAAAGGAAGTAGACAAAAAGCAGGTAACTATAGACCAGTTAGCTTAACTTCGGTAGTGGGGAAAATGCTTGAATCTATCATTAAGGAAGAAAAAGCAAGACATCTGGATGTAAATTGTCCCATTGTGAACACCCAGCATGGGTTCATGAAGGGTAGGTCATGTTTAACTAATTTGGTGGAATTCTTTGAGGACATTACTTGCATGGTGGACAATGGGGAACCTGTGGATGTGGTGTATCTGGATTTCCAGAAGGCATTTGACAAGGTGCCATACCAAAGGCTGCTACATAAGATAAAGTTGCACGGTATTACAGGTAATGTATTGGCATGGATAGAGGATTGGTTGACCAGTAGAAAGCCAAGAGTAGGGGTAAATGGGTGTTTTTCTGGTTGGCGGTCAGTGTCTAGTGGTGTGCCTCAGGGATCAGTGTTGGGACCTCAATTGTTTACAATTTACATAGATGATTTGGAGTTGGGGACTAAGTGTGGTGTGTCAAAATTTGCAGATGACACTAAGGTGAGTGGTAGAGCAAAGTGTGCAGAAGACCCTGAAAGTCTGCAGAGGGATATAGATAGTCTAAGTGAGTGGGCAAAGGTCTGGCAGATGGAGTACAATGTTGATAAGTGTGAAGTCATCCATTTTGGTAGGAATAACAGCAAAATGGACTGTTTTAAATGGTAAAAAATTGCAGCACGCTGCTGTGCAGAGGGACTTGGGTGTCCTTGTGCGTGAATCGCTAAAAGTAGGATTGCAGGTGCAGCAGGTAATTAAAAAGGCAAATGGAATTTTCTCTGCCATTGCTAGAGGGATGGAGATTAAAAACAGGGAGGTTATGCTGCAGCTGTATAGGGTCCCGGTGAGGCCACACCTGGAATACTGTGTGCAGTTTTGGTCTCCTTACTTGAGAAGAGATATACTAGCAATGGAGGGGGTGCAGAGGAGATTCACTCGGTTGATTCCAGAGTTGAGAGGGTTGGATTATGAGGAGAGACTGAGTAGACTGGGATTATACTCATTGGAATTCGGACGAGTGAGGGGAGATCTCATAGAAACATATAAGATTATGAAGGGAATAGATAAGGTGGAGGCAGGGAGGTTTTTTCCGCTCGCAGGTGAAACTAGGACTAGAGGGCATCGCCTCAAAATAAAGGGATGCAGATGTAGGACTGAGGTCAGGAGGAACTTGGAAATCTGTGGAATTCCCTCCCCAGTGAAGCAGTTGAAGCTACCTCGCTGAATGTTTTTAAGGCAAGGCTGGATAAATTTTTGAACAGTAAAGGAATTAAGGATTATGGTGAGTGAGCGGGTAAGTGGAGCTGAGTCTCAAAAAGATCAGCCATGATCTTATTAAATGGCGGGGCAGGCTCGAGGGGCCAGATGGCCTACTCCTGCTACTAGTTCTTATGTTATGTTATGTTGAATTTTCTTACTGCTTTTTTGGCGTGCATAGGCGAATTTGCGATGTCATGAATACAGAGGATTTACTGTAGTTGTGTCAGTGTTATTTGTTGTTCTCCACTTTGCGGTGATTTTGAACTCATGCTTGCTCCCTTTTCCTATATCCGTTTCAAATTGCAATAGGTTACTCTTGTTAATTAAGTTGTTTTCTACTCCAAGTTTACAAATTGATTGGAAAAAATACATTCTCAAATTCACCCGAATGAATTGGTTCCTTAACCTGACACTTGTACTCAGAATAGATTTGAGCAATGTGTGGTTTGTCAATGATTTCTAACTGGTTAAATTATACTTTTTATTTTTAATACTTAAACCAAATTTTATGTTTGTGACAGACACAATGAACTCCTAAATAGCACTAAAGTCAAGTGCAACAACTTAATGCTTTATTCCTGTTGTGTTTTTCAACTCCCTAGATCCCTGGTTCTCTGCTTCGGATGGTCAGGAAGAAGCTTCTTTTCCTTCAGAAAGGAGGGGATCCCACTGCTTCCTCAGGTACCTCAGGCACATCATATTAAAAGCATGAACGATTCTTTGATTCCCTTAATTGCCTTAAGTTCTCTGAGCAATACAATTTTTAATTGGCTGAAATAAATTTATTTATTTTGGTCCTTCATGTGCTATGGATATCACTGGCTGAGTTAGCATTTATTAGCTATCTCAATGGTCCTGGAGAAGGTGGGGTGAGCTTCCTTCTTGAACTACTGCAGTAAACCATTGCTGTAGGAATATCCGTGAGGCTGTTAAGAAGACGAGCATTTTGACCTAATGACAGTAAAGGAACACGATATATTTCCAAGGTAGTGACTTGGAGAGGAACATGCAGGTGGCAGTGTTCCAATGTATCTGTTGCCTTTGTCCTTCTAGATGGAAATGGGTCTTGTATTTGGAAGGTGCTGTTTAAGGGGCCTGGATGAATATTTGCAGTGCATCATGTAGGTGGTCACTGCTACTTCACTGTGTCAAATGGGCCTTGATGTCAAGGGCAGGCATCCTCACCTTATGTCCAGAATCCAGCTCTTTGTCCATGTTTGAATCAGGGCTGAGTAAAATCAGGAGCTGTTTGTATCTTGCAGAACCCAAACTGATCATCAGTAACTAGGCTATTGGTCAGCAAGTGCTGCTGCATAGCACCATTGGTGTCAACCTCCATGATTTCACCCATGATCAAGAGTAGACGGCAGGGCAGAATTGATTGAGTTGGCAGAATGCAAAACTTGGCACTTCCTTATGTTAAAATCCATCTGCCACAGCTTTGCCCACTCACCTAATTTATCATTATCCTGTTGTAATTTTATGCTGTCATCAACACTATCTACAGTGCTCCCAATTTTGTATTGGCAGCAAGTTTGGATATTTGACTTTTTATGCCATTATTTAAGTCATTAATGAATATTCTGAATAATTTGAGACCTTAATATAGATCCCTGCGGGACAACACTAGTCACGTCCTGCCAATTTGAGTACTTGCCCATTATTCCAACTCTCTTTCTTGCCACTCAACCAATTTCTTGTCCATGTTAATAATTTTACCTCCATTCCATGGGCTTCCATCTTAGCTAACAGTTTCTTGTGTGGTACTTTATTAAAAACCTTCTGGAAGTCTATATAAACAACATGTATTGACTTACCTCTGTCCACCTCTGTTACCTCTTCAAAAACACTGAGGTTTGTCAGGCATGACCTTCCCTTCATAAATCTATGCTGGTTCTCCCTGATTAACTGAAGGTCAAGGTTTTCAGTTACCCTTACCTTGATTATAGACTCCAACAATATTCCCCATAACACAAATGTAAGGCTAACTGGTCTGTAATTCACTGGTTTCACTCTGTTGCCCTTATGAAAGATTGTGTGATGTGAACAAATTTTTTAGTCCAGAGGTAAAACTCCTGAATCCACGGAACTCAGAATCAGCAATGTGCTCTGCTACCTCCTTTAACACCCACGGATGGAAGTCATCTGGTCCTGGGGATTTGTCGCGCTTCAGTTCCATTAATTTACCCATTATTGATAATTTACTTGAGCTAATTTTATTTAGACCTTGTCCCTGATCCTCTGTTAACGTCAGAATAAAATCTGCTCTGGTACTTTGTATTTTGTTTTCATTTGATGTGGCAGTCTTTCACTGAAACATAGGCATTCAAGGCCTACGGGTTTAGTTTTAACAATAAAAGAAGTTTATTATACGAGAAATAAAAACAAGCTATCTGCATTCAACATGTTTTGAAAGATGTCTAAAAATGTTGCACAACAGAAAAAAACTCATCTCCTCCCCAGAAGCAACACTTCCCATTTAATCAAAATCTAGAGAAACTTCCTTCCCTCACAAGTCTGCCTGTTGATTTAACTGCTTTTTTATGGTTCTGGTCCTGTGAGCTTTTTCTTTAAGATCTTAGTTGTGAGAGTAGGACTTTCTCAACTTTCAAGAATCAAATTGGAGATTTCTAACTGAACATTCTTGGTTTGGTAACTTTCACTAACGCAAATCCTTATCTTGAGGTAAGTTATTCTCTTATTCCTCTGAACAATGGCTCTTCTTTATTTGGGAAACTATTCTTGCATTTAACTTCAGTCAGAGCTTTTTCAAACTGGCTTCAGAAGGTTTTAACGCAAGGTTTATAAAATCGCTCATCCTAGTTTGTGCTAAGCTAATGGTGTCATGTTTTTCCCTTCTGTCAAAAACCCTACAATATAAACAAACTAAATCCCTTCAAACAGTAGACCAGACCCATGTGCCACCAATTTAGCATCCAAGTTCTGAAATTAAAAAAGTTAGAGGATAAAAGATACTTTATCAGTAAAATACTTAAAAGTTTTCAGAAACAGACAGGTAATTGGAATTGAGGATTATCAGATTAGTCATGATGTCATTGAGTGGAAAAGAAAATTATGTGGGCCGAATGGCCTACTTCTGTTCCGATGTCTTAACGGTCAAAAAAGTGACGATTGCATACAAGTCTTACACCTTTCATCACACTGGCATCTGTGATACAGAGGACCTCCAGAGGAGGTTGTAATGGATCATCAACTGGGCACTTTGGGCTGAAGTTTGTTGCAAATCTCTCAGCCTTACCACACAGTCCATTTGAAACTACTTTACTGGAAGGTACATTTATGTTGCACCTTTCACATCCTCTTGGTCCAAGCACTTCATAATCAATTAGTTAATTATTTTGAAGTGTAGTCGCTGTTGGTATATCGGCAAATGCAACAGCCACTTTGTTCATAGCAAGATCACAGAAACAGCAAATGAGATGAATAACCAGATGACAATTAGTGTTGGTTGAGGGACACTCCTTGAATGGTGCTATAGAATTTTTTTTACATCCACTGGAACTGGTAGATGGAACCCACAGTTTAATGTCTTATCTGAAAAATGGTGACTTTAGAAAATACAGTACCCCTCACTCAGTACCAGCTTTAATTGTGTGCCAAAGTCAAAAGAAAATCTGATGATGACAAAACATCACAAATGTATACTGGCATATGTCACTGTTGCAAACTTGATATCATAACATTAGTAGGATTGAACCTGTATCTGAACTAATTTCTATACAGACTATAAAATGCTGAGCATCACTTGAAATTGCCTGTTTGAAGATCTGGTGGCTAAAACTGAAACACAAAGTGGATGTGAAAGTGCAAGACTGACAATCGTGGCTGGTGTCTGTGCAAATTTGGGAACTGGTTGTCTTCCTGATATTCTGGAATGGGTATTTTCATTATGGGCAGGGTGTACAAAAGAAACTTGTATTTCAAAAATAATTGGGTAAATTATTCAGAAAATATTTGAAACTGGTTTAAATCAGCAACAATTTCCCTTTGGAAGAAATAATGCTGCAACCAATTTCTGTGCAGTTTTATAAAGTGTTTCCTTTATTTCTCACTGCTTTCTCTGAAATTCTTTTTTAAATCAAAATTATCATCTCTCATGACTTTTTTGCAAAGAATCAGTGTCCATGTTTCTTGTTGCTGCTCCCAGATCGGGTGCTTTGGAAATCTTCTATTTTGAGCTGCCACATGAATACAAATTGCTGTGTAGTGTTTGCAGAAGAGGAATGAATGATTTGCGGGAATTGTGAGGAACATCAAATGCATTGTCTGCAGTGCCACTCAGTGCCTTGGAGAAGCTACTGCAGCAATTATTTTAATTGTCAGTTGAACTGATTAGACGCAAGAATTCGTGACTATAATAATTGCTGCTAAACTGTTGAGCAAAACATTTTTTTGCTTTTTTTGCTAAGTTCTAAAAATAAGTTGACACTTCAGCACAGTCCTGAGAGTGTTGATTACCTTAAAGACCTGTTTGCCTATTATGATAGATCAAGTGAATTTTAAAGTTCCCATGGTACAAATAGAGCACAGGAACATGAGCAGGCTGTTCAGCTACTCTGTATTGGCCCTTTATTCCAGTGCTTTCCAACCTCTTACCTGCTGTGACCTCATTTCAATGCTTTAAGATTCTCAGTTTTCACAGAGGTGACATACAAGATGTAGGGACACTCCAACTGCACCAAAAGAGGGCAAAAATATCTTTGTCTACAAAAATCTTGGCTTATGATTTTCGCCAGTTGATTATGATGGAGCAGAGGACAGAATACTGCAAGGGAGTCAGAACTACACGTGCCATTGCTGTCTCTCAACTCAACTCTCATTTTGGCAAACCCTGCTCTATTCAATAAGATCATAGCTGACCTTACTTCACCCACCCTGGTTCCATAAATTTTCGTATTTTTCATCCAAAAAAAATCTATCAATTTCATAGGTTTTAAGTGTTAAATCTACCCCATTTTGGCAGACTGTTTTAGGAAAGAGTGCTGTGTGAAGAAATGCTGCCTCAGTATCCCTAAATGGCCTAGCATTCATTTTTCATTCCATGTTCTGGCTGCTCTATCAAGGCATGTAGTCTCCTGTCCAGGTTCAGAGAAGATTTATCAGGATGTTGCTGGCAGTTGGGGGGGTTTGAGTTGTAAGGAGAGGATGGATAAACTGGGACTTTTCACTGGAGCATTGGACGTTGAGAGGTGACCTTATAGAGATTTTACAAAATCATGAGGTGTAGAGATAAGGTGAATGGCAGGTGTCTTTTCCCTAGGGTGGGAGATTTCAAGACTAGGGGTATATTTTTAAGGTGAGAGGAGAAAGATTTAAAAACGATATGAGGGGCAATTTTTTTCCACAGTGGTTCATGTGTGGAATGAACTTCCAGATGAAATGGTGGATGCGGGGACAGTTAGAATGTTCAAAAGGCATTTGGATAAGTACATGAATAAGAAATGTTTGGAGGTATATGGGCCAAGCGCAGGCAGGTGCGACTTGTTCAATGTGGGATTACGGTTGTCATGGACTGGTTGGACCAAAGGGTCTGTTTCCGTGCCCTGTGACTGTAGTGTATCAACCCCACTGTGTGTTAGCATTCCTCCCTCAACTTATTCACAAAGAATAGTTTGACTGGTTCATGATGTTGAATTTTGGTGTGTACAAATTTCTTGTTGCATTTATGTACTTAACAATGTGACGGCATTTCAAAAGTCATTCACCGAAAGCAAAATGGGTAGAATGTCATAGAGGTGTGATCAGATCCTATAAAAATATAAGTACTTTTGATATGATTGTTACATTGTCTATTCCCTGCAAAAGACTTTACTTGATAATTTTGATTGCTTATTTTGTGCCAGGTTTTACATTCTGCCAGAATGTAACACAGAAGGAGTTTGAGGAGCAGAAAGGCAAGACCACCATGGACCAACTTAAGCAGTTAGTCCAAGAGATCAGTCAAAACTCCAACATATCTGCCAAAGAGGGAAACAGACTGCTTCAGGAGTTCCAGAAGCAACATCCTTCAGTGTTTGTTCAACACTACTCAAATATCATTTAGGAGGAGAATATCAGTGAGATTATTGCTGTTTGTTTAGAAAAGATAGCGTTTTGAATGAATGCAAGCACTTTGTTGACCAGGCCATTTGGCACCTGCGACAAGTGATTCTTCTAATCATCTGGCTCAGAGGTTATTATGCATCTCTGGAGCATGTGGGTCTTGAACCCTAGCTGCCTCATCTAGGGATGGGGACACTACCACTGCACCACGAGAGCAAAAATATTTTTATTTGATTACAAAAATCTTGGCTTATGATTTTCTCCATTCAATTATGATTAACGTTGATTTGCACTAAATGTAATAACTAAAAGTCTCAGTTTGTCTTTGTTGCAACGTTTCATTTTATGCTACTGTTGTGTTGTGTCCTAGGTTTTGCAGGGGGAACAATTGTTCACCTTTTTTATACCTGAGCTGAGACACATCAGGCTGCTCTTCTGAGTTTGCACTACCATCTGGGAGGCTCATCTGCTGGCTGCATTGATTTCTGGCTGGGCAGTTAACTTATGGGGTTCTGTGCCAGCGGTGTGAACATATTATTGCCCCTCTCCTGTCAAATGAATCTCTGGCCAGTACAGGGAAATGAAAGGCAAGAAACATTTTCGGTGAACCATGAAGCGAGTTCTTATAATGATCTAGTGGGCTTTGGTTGAAGCTGGCCACCTGGATTGTATGGTCTAACTTGCTGTAGATTCTTGGCATTTCCTCTTCATTTAAGCTTCATATCTACAAAATTCTCAAACAAATGGGATGAGAGTGTGATTGCAAAATGCTGATAGAATGCAAAGAGTTGAAATGTGCCCAGTTCATCAGCATCAAGTGCCTTCTAGATAGCTGCATGTGATATAAATAATTAACACTAATATTACTGTAGGAAATTCTAAATTACTGAATAAGCTTAATTGTGGAACAGATTTTTTTATATTTGATATCTCAGCCTTTTTTCCAGTTTGGATAAATAAAACTGAATTAATCAGAAATGTGTACTTTTATTCGAGTTTTTCGTGAACAGATGTCACAGCTTGGCTTCAATGTCTTTTGTCCATTGCACTTTGTGGCATTATGCAGATTTAAAAAGATGGAAATTTATCCTGATTACCTCATTTTCTTTTTGACTTGCGTGCTGTTTTTTTTTCTCCATTATGGTTTCCTTTACTGTTGCTCTGTTTTAATTACTTTGCTTCCTTTCGTTTCTTTCCCATGTTTGGTTTTATTGATTATTCAGTCCTTATCTTCATTTTTTTTCAGCTCAAATATACATGTGTGGCAGATTTTGTGTACAAAACAACATGCTAAAATCACTTCCCTTGATTTAGTTTAACTTGGTGTGTTTGGCTTTGGGATTTATTTTCTCTGCTGCTGACATTTGGTGGTCTAGGTTCTTGCAGCAATTAACTGCTGGAAGCAAAGCTGAATAAGAAATGTAAGGGCTGATTACCTTGTGGATCTAGAGGCGTCATCCCCACGTGCAACCCCCCCAAACAAATACCCAGACTAGTCTCTTGGGGGGGAAAAAAAGCTATAGCCCTTCATTCACATCTAACTTATTCCAAACTTCTAAATATAACTTTTGAAAATTAATTGTCTGTAAAGGAGAAAGTTCAGATAAGTTGAGACTTGAGGAAATAAGGCAAGGTTGAATGGACTTCAATGCTAGTCGGATTAGAGTTAGGACAAATGAGTTAAGGGCATGATTGACACATGGAATTGCCACATTGTTGCCATCAAAATGTGGTTGAGGGAGGACTTGCAACTCATATTCCAGTGTATAGGATCTTTAGGCAGGACAGTATAAGATGTAAAGGAAAGAGTCTGTTACTGCAGCAAGGAGGGATGATATCCTGAGAGGATTGTCAGATGAGGCTTTATGGGTAGAGCCTTGGAATAAAAAATGGGCAGTCACACTGGTCAGAATGATATGTAGGCCCCAAAATAGTCCATGGGCAATTGAGCAGATATGTCAACAATTCATTGAAGTGAATAGGGTAATTATATTTAAATTTATCCGACATTAATTGGGATAATCATAAAATGGATTTAAGGGGTTGTATTTTTTTGAAATTTATTTAGGAGAGCTTTTTATATCATGTAGATGGTCCTGCGGTGTTGGATTTCATTCTGGGAAACAAAGCCAGACACATTTGTTAAAATCGAATCAGAGATAGTAGGAACTGCAGATGCTGGAGAATCCGAGACAACAAGGTGCAGGGCTGGATCCGAGACAACAAGGTGCAGGGCTTTTCTGATGAAGGGTCTAGGCCCGAAACGTCAGCCTCTCTGCTCCTATGATGCTGCTTGGCCTGCTGTGTTCATCCAGCCCTGCACCTTGTTGTCTCAGACACATTTGTGTTGGCAGTGAGGGAGCATTTTAGTGACAGTGACTACTACACAAAAAGTGTTAAGTTTATTATGGAAAAGGAAAAAAGATAGTCTGCAGAAAATCTTTCGGGATTGGAGGAAGGCAGACTTTATTAAAATGAGGCAGGATCTGGCTAAAGTAGACTATGAAGAGCTATTTAAGGGTAAATCCACAGCAGAAATGGGAGGAGTTGAAAACCCAGGTGCTCTGGTTTCCTCCCACAGTCCTAAGATGTGCAGGTTACGTGGATTGGCCATGGGAAATGCGAGGTTACAGGAATTTGGTGCGATGCTGTTCAGATTGTCAGTGTGGACTTGATGGGCTGAATGGCCTGCTTCCACATTGTAGGGATTATATGATCTAGTCAATGAATGAGGCTGAGTACAGGCACAACATGTTCCCTTTAGGGTGAAACATAGGAGCAGCAAGCCCAGAAAACCTGAATGTCTAGGAATATTCAGCACTGCATAGAAAGGAAAAGAGAGGCATGTAACATACATAGAAAGGGAACAAATCAGTGGAGGCCCTAGTGGAGTATAGAATGTGCAGGGGGATCTTAAGAAAGCAATTCGGAGAGCGAAGAGGGGGTGGGAAAGATTAGGTCGAATCCAGATGTATTCTACAAGTTTATTAAGGGGAAGAGAATAACTAGGGAAAGGGCCATTAGGGACGGAAGGTTAATCTGTCAGTGAACCAGCAGAACATTGTAAATGTGTCAAATTAGTACTTCATATCTGGATTTACTCGTGAAAAGGAGGATGTTGGTGCAGAATTTGGGAAGATAGACTGAGGTTCTTGAGCAGCTTACTATAGAGAGTGAGGAGGTAATGGAAATTGAGGCAGGCTTAAAAATGGAGACATCCCCAGGTCTGGATCAATTGTATCTCAGGCTGCTGTGGAAGACGAGGGAGGAAATCACTGCGGCCCTGACCCAAATTTTTAATTTCTCTGTGGTCACAGGGAAAGTGCTGGAGGACAACTAATGTGGTTCCACTTTTTAAAAAGGATGGTAAAGATAAACTAGGGAATTGTAGATAGATCAATCAGTCAGTCCACATCAATGGTAGGGAAACTATTGTAGAAAATTCTGAAGGAGAAAACTAATCTCCATTTAGAAAGCCAAGGTTTGATCATGGATAGTCAGCGTGGCTTTTTCAGAGGAAGGGTCATGCTGAAGAAATTATGGGTGAACTTTGAGGTGGTGACCAAATGTGTAGATGATGGTAGTGCAGTCAATGTAGTTTATATAGATATTAGCAAAGCCTTTGACAAAGTTCCACATGGGAGACTGATAAAGAAGATAAAAACACCTGGGATCCAAGGTAACCTGGATCCAAAATTGGCTTAGTGATAGGAGACAGGGTGATGGTGGAAGGCTGTTTGTGTGACTGGAAGTCGGTGTGCAGTGGTATATCACTGAGAATGGTACTGGGCCCTTATTGTCATGTAAATCTGGTATGGATTAGAATGTGTGGGAAAATAATGAATAAGTTTACAGATGACACAAAGATTGGCTAGGTGGTTGATAGTGAGGAAGAAGATCTTAAGTTACGGGAGAATATTAATGAATAATAAGATCGGCAGATCAGCGGCAAATGAATTTAACAATGAAAAGTGTGAAATGATGCACTTTGGAAGAAGTAACAAGACAAGGGAGTACTCAATGAATGGTAGGACCCTAGGAAGTTCAGAGGGGATTTTGAGGTGCGTGTCCACAGATCCCTGAAGGTGGCAGGACAGGGTAATCGGGTAGATAAGGCATTTTGATCAGTCAAGGCATAGATTATAACAGCAGGGATGTCATGTTGGAGCTGTGCAGGACTCTGGTTAAGTCATAGCTGAGTTTAGTATGTGCAGTTCTTGACACAACACTGTAGGAAAAATGTGATTTCACTGGAGGGAAGGTTCACCAGGATGTGGCCTGGGATGGATCGCTTTAGCTATGAAGAGGTGCTGGATAAGCTCAGGTAATTTTATTGAAGTAGATAAGAGGGACCTGATAGAGGTGCCTCAGATTGAGAGGGTTATACGGGGTGGATAGAAAGCAGCTGTTCCCCTTCGTGGAAGGATCAGTAACAAAAGGTCATACTTTTAAGGGGGAAGCAGGAGGCTTAGAGAGGGTCCGAGGAAAAATGGTAGGGGTCTAGTGTACGCACTGCCTGGGAGGGTAGTTGAACCGAAGAACTCTTTAAAAAGAACTTGGCTGAGCACTTGAAATGTCGGAACATTGAAGGCTTTGGGCTTGATGCTGGAAAGTGTGACAAGTGTTGATTTGGTGCAGTTTTGGTGGTACAGCCTTGATGGACCGAAGAGTCTCTTCTGTCCTGTGTAATTATGATTCTCTCAACATGGACATCTGTGAGCTCACGTTGCATATTGATAGTGGAGGCCGAGCTTTGTTAGCTGTCCTTTGAGAATTCAAGCATGCATGGAAAAGATCTTATGTTGTGATTTTAAAGAGAATGGAATTGTCTGTCCTGATATGATTTCTCTTTGGAGCAAGAGCTCTGACCTCACCTGGTGCCCGTGGACCTCACCTGACCTCACCTCGCCCTTGACCTGTGGCCACGCCCCTTGAGGGACTGATCACGTGCGTGGGCGGAAGCGGAAGTGAGGTAGCGGGTGGGGGAAGGGGGAGTGTTGTGATGGCGAAAAGGTCGCCTGCACTTGCTGCCGCTGCCGCCGCCCTCGCCCTCGGAGTGAGCTCGCCTGGGACGGAGTGAGCCGTCAGGCGGCAGGGCCCTCGAACACAGGCAGATCCAATAGAAGCAAAGCTCAGGTGATCGGCGCCCCAGCTTCATTCGTGTTTTAACAGGCGGCGGTGAGAGGCCGGGCCTAGGCTGATGGAGGAGGAGGAGGGGGAAATACAGAGAGGGGCGAAAGGATCCTGTGACAGAGAGGGAGCACACGGCTTGGGTGGAGATGAAACTGGGAATTGAGGGCGGGGTTTGAGAGGGAACGGAGATGTGTCAGTGTATGAGAATTGGGAAGGTGTCAGGGATCAGAGAGCGAGA